CTCCAGGTCGTCCAGGTCGAGCTGCATGGAGTGCCGGTGTCCCCGGGCTGGCCGGGAGGAGGCTGTGGGGGGCCACTCGGTGGATGATTGGGCTGAGGTAGGTCCTGGGGGTGCATAGTACCTGAGGAGAGAAGTAAGTGTGTTCACTAGCCGCAGAGAGAGCAGGGGTGGACCCAGGAGCACTGGGTTTGCTGTCAGCCCTGATCTACACCCCAGCTGCACCTTTGGCCCCTGCTATTTGAGTCTCAGTGTTTTCACCTATAAAATGGGAATAATATGCACACATTGAGGGGTGTGTTGGAAAGATGAAGGAAGATAACAAAGGACAGTTAGTTCCATCTACATGTTCACTTAACAATTATGTCTTGACCATCTACTATGTGCCAGCCAATGTGTTAGGCTCTGGGGTTATATAGACTGAGCAAACATAGACCCTAGAGCCTTGTTGGAGCTTCTAATCAGAAAGCCAGATCTGAGGGAGACCAGGATCACCCCAGGACCTGCAGTAAACCCCCCTAATCAGAGGTAATATACAGAGTCCCACTTGTCAAGCATGGGGTGCTGGACATAGGTGATAATAATAATTAGGATTCTGCAGGAGTAGGAGGTGCTGGTACTCAGGGTGGTGGGCAAAGGGTGTCCTTCCCACCTTGACTCTCCAGTAATGTGGGGTGCTATTTTAATGTGCTGGTGGAAATGGGCTGATGAGCCAAGAAATGAAACAGAGAGTTCCCCAAGAAGGGGGTGTGGCTTCTGTGTTGTTGAATAAAGCGTGTATGGGGGGAGGGGGAATACAGAAGAATTTGTATTCTCAATAATTTGTATCCTCAAGAAAGCAGGATAACTTTAGGAAGGACTTAGCTGGCGTCTTTCATTGGCATCTTGCTTGGCACACTATTAACTCTGGTTTTCCTCCTGCTCCCCCACCTTCTAACTTCCATTATTTTACAGTGTATAAAAAGGGCTTGGCTAGGATATGAATAGACATTTTTCCAATGATGATATGCAAATGACTAACAAGCACATCATTAGCCATATGGAAAATGCAAATCAAAACAACAAGAGATGCAGTTTCACACGATTCACACCCACTAGGCTGGCAAAAATCAAAAAGAGACAGACAGCAACAAGTGTGTGCGAGGATGTGAAGAACCTGGAACTCGTACACTGCTGGTGGGATCCTAAGATGGTACAGCCACTGTGGAAATAGTCTGGCTGCTCCTCAGACATTAAAGGTAGTGCCTGTGCCAGGGCTGGCATCCTTGTCTTTGGTGCCCATGGCCAGTTGGTACCTATAGCCTTATTTTCTGGTGAGCGAAGTGAAGCTCACAGAAGCTAAGTGTCTCAGGAGGTAGTATGACAGCTCCCCTGAACAGCTCAGGCCCTGGTGGCTGCCCCACTCTGAGCATTCTGCTTGGCTGTGGGATCCCGAACAAGCTACCACCCTTTTCAAGGCCTCCATCTTCCCGCCTATATTGGCCATATTTAGCTACTTCCCAGGGTAGAGCCAATGGGAAAGTGCAGATTAAAAGCTTTGTATTGCTTAGAATAGGGAGTAATTGGGTAAGGGATAGAAAAAATAATTATGATTTGTAACGATGAACCTGCTAATAAATAATATTGATTTGATCATCACAAACTGTACACAAATACTGATAGTCAACTCTGTATCCAATAAATATGTATAAATTAAAAAAAAGAAAAAGAAAAGCTTTGCACTGCCAGTCCTGGGATGTGCTCTGTAAATGTGAGCTCTTAAGGCTGACAGTCAGAGAGCTGGAAGGGGCAGGAACGGAACCACACAGACCTCACTGTCCCAGCATCTCTAACACGTGCCGATTAGCAGGCTGCAGATGCTCATAGATATCATCTGAACGGAATGAACTGGGCTTCCTGTATCCACTAAACATCAGACCATATTCCCTCCTTCAGGGTTTATCAGGTGTAACTACTGGGCTCCCATACACCTCCATCTTCTTTGAATTTGATGACCAGCTTGGCTTGAAAGTTACGCAAACTCTCCAGAGGGCAGAAATGCAAAAAATCCCTCTGGGCAACAAAACTCTACTGCAGGGGCTGCAGGGCAGGGGACCAGCAGGTGGCAGCACAGGCCAATCAGCATTTTAAACATTGCACTGGCC